TTACTATTTTTACACACCAGAGGCTTTTAAATGAATTGTGAATCTAAAATATGCATGTTCGAGAATTGTACAAATGGTTAACATTGTGTCATATCAGTCAGAAAAGCAGTTCTGGGCTTTTTAAATTTTTTTTAGCTAACTTAGTTGTTATTCTTGTCTGAATAACTCTAGAAGGTTTTAAAAGCCCTTTAAAATTAAATATGTACACAGTTTGGATTAAATGAAGGAATAGTCAAATTTTTTAATTAGCATGTTTTTGTGTTTTGCTTTGGTACCGAAATTGGTACAGAGAACCGTGGATTTTCACTGGTATTGGTACCGAATACTGAAATATTGGTACTGTGACAACACAAGCCAAAAACAAATTAATTTAAGGTGAAACTGATGCCTATCTCTCTCATTCTGCACGAATCCAAATGTTTCCATATTCGCGACGTGTCTGGATGCTAAAATATTATTTATTATGTAATAGGCTTTGTATTTCACTCGCATGGAACATTCTTCGGCTATATCAGCACAGTGAGGCGCTGGTCACGCTGAATGCAACTGATTGTACAACGGAACAGAGTTACTTTTTATGTTTCTTTAACTGTATTTTATTTTGATAATGAACAGGCTGCAATGTTGAAAAAATGTTGCGTCTGTGTGCGTGTGAGGCGCCGGCATGATAGCCATACCAACGCTGGTATACAGATAGAAGCAAGACATCATTCAAAACTGTCAAGCTTTTGCAAAACAAATATAACTGTAAAATACCTATGATGAATTCACAACTGAGCGCGGGCATTTTTTCAGGTTTCTTTGATGAATAGAAAGTTCAGAAGAACAGCATTTATCTGAAATAGAAATCCTTTGTAACATTATAAATTTATTTATCATCACTTTTGTTCAATTTAAAGCAACCTTGCTAAATAAAAGTATTAATTTCTATAATTTCTTTCAAAAAAAAAAAAATAAAAATAAAAAATATATATATATATATATACTGACTCCAAGCTTTTGAATAGTATAGTGCAGGGGTCGGCAAGTAAGTTTGGCATTGGCCCAAAAAAAATGTTCGCCGCTAGATGGCGGGCCAGAACATAGTCAAACGATAATTTAAGAAATTAATTGATGAAAAATGCAACTAGAATTGCCTGTGACAGACTGTGCTCTCTGTCTTTGCGCCGCGTCTAAAGTATTTCAGTTGGTTTGAAATATCACAGTTCTGTTCATAACGTATATTTAAAAAATAAAATAAATAAAATAAGAGGAGAGTTTCAAAGTGGCTTGTTGGAACACAAGTGTGCAAACTTTTTTCCTATCACATGACAAGCTAATAACATGGTTGTCAGCATTAAAAAGTATAATTGCTGCTTTTTGCAGTGCAAATTTGGTTTGTGATGAAAATAACAGTACGTTTTCGTCTTATTTTACCTATGGATCGATGCATTTCTTACAGATTTCTGCTCATTCGAAATCGGATACAGATGAAGTAGCACTGATTATATTTGTTTGAATGCATTGAGAGAGCGATTGCGTGTGAATAAGTGTTGTAGTACTTAGTAGTACGCTGGGGTTAACGACACCAAGTTGCGGCAGACGGAGACACTGAAGAGGGACTTCAGGAGCCTGATCGAGACTGTGCGCAGCACATCGCTCGCGACGACGATCATCGTGTCAGGACTGCTTCCCACGTATCGACGAGGACACGAAAGGTTCAGTAGACTTTTTGCTTTAAATGAATGGGAACAGAAACTGCTCTTTGTTAATAATTGGAATCTTTTCTGGGAGCGTCCTAGGCTTTTTCGCGCTGATGGCCTGCACCCCAGCAGAGTCAGAGCGGAACTCCTGTCGGACAACATCTCCAGGACGCTATGCTCCATATGACTAGTAAGCCAATTCTCAAATAACTGCCATGATGACTTTTGTTCTACCCGCTTAAATGATAGAAGTACTAGCGCTGTCCAATCTATAAAGATTGTGTCTGTTCCCCAAATAGTGAGGTCAAAATATAAATTTAATGCAGGATCTAATTAAGAAACCACAACTAAAACCTAGTGAACTGGCAAATTACATATCCATTTCAAATCTTCCGTTTATGTCTAAAATTTTAGAAAATGTTGTGTCTGCTCAATTTCCTGTACAGTTGCTTTGCAACGATTTGTATCATGAAAAGCTCTATACAAATAAACTTGAATTGAATACTTGTTTAAATCATGCTTTCAGCTGAAAATATTCAGTTAACAATGTAAATATAATTCTGTCCCTCACATTAAGATATGGAATGGCTTCAGATGATATAGGCTATACAGTGCATGAAAAGCAAACTGGTGCTCTTCTGTTTCTTTTGGTGTATGACTCCCCCTTGTGCCGTATAAAAAGCACAATAATTGGTTAGATCAAATAATCGCGATTAGATGGTTATTTAATTATCGCGACAGACCTATCTATTCACAGTGGTAGATTGTGTCTGTCTTCTGTGGTTTTATTCACACACACTTCATAAAGACAAAGTACTATCATAACTTGTTGAGTAATCCCACCTTCATTTTAGTGGTATTCCCTCATAAACGATTAAAGATTTGCAATGAAAAATATATTTATAGGAACATTTCAGCAGGTTCAGCATTGTTTTAATCAACTGATCTTCTCCTGATTATCTGTCTGTATGTTTCTGTGCTGAATCTTGTTACTGGAAGTAGAACATGAAAATAGTTGTGCAAGTAGTCCATTGAAGTTATAATTCTTTTTGAAAACTAATTGTGCAGCTCTAGTGTAGTAATTCTTAGGATAAAATGATCGGTTCTACAAAAACCATTTATCATTTACCATGATTTAGACTAGACTGACAAATGTATTATTTGGACAGCACAATTGAGAAACCTGATGTTATGGCGTTTGCTGAAGGAATAATCATTGCACCGTTTTTTTTGTTTTTTTTTTGACCGGAATGAAAATGAGGTTTGAAGGATTGAAGTACGGTGCATTCAATGGATTGTACTTTTCAAAAACTCAGTTGTTCAGCTGACAAAATGTCTTTCCTTAAGCCTTTTAATAGACAACTCCTTTGAATTCCATTTTATCTGCATAGATTTCAGTATTCAACCCTGACTAAGGTCCTTATTTGTATTAACATGCACATTTTTTATCTGAATGTGCTTGAATTAAAAAAAAAAAAAAACAGGAAATTCCATGTATGCTTTTATAAACTTAATACTATACTTTTACACAGAGGGAAGAGCAGGAGCCGCAAACCAAAAGGGAGAGTGAAGACAAGAGCATCACTGTAAACATTGACATCCCTGATGTTCTCAAGAAGAAGCTGGAGGATGACTGTTACTATATCAACAAAAGAAAGAAGGTATGCATGCAATTACATACTTTTTTTGGTAATGTATACATCATCGCATCTCTCCTGCTCGAAGCTCAGATTTACTTTGGTTTGTTCATTGCATAATTTCTCCTTTAGTCTCCTTTAGTGGCATTGTGTAATGCTTACAAAAATGATTTTCATTTTGTTTCATTGACAACAGCTGGTGAAGCTTCCATGCCTGATGAATATAGTAAACATTCTGGAGTCCTATGTGAAGCACTTCACCCTAAATGCAGCTTTCTCAGCTAATGAGCACTGTCGGCACCCTCAGAGCTCCACACAGACTAATATGAGTCCACACTATATGCCACCTGAGAGGAAGTAAGTTGTAACCAAAATTCTTTTCTTATAAAGCTTTTTTTATTTTGCTTCCCCACAACCCTACACATAGGATATGTAACATGAATGGTAGGGCTGCACGATATTGGAAAAAACTCACATTGCAATATTTTGTTTTTCTGCGATTATATATTGCGATATGAAAAAAAAAAATCACCAGATGGCTTGAATAGCTCTATTTGGAAATAAATAATCAATGATTGGGGTGTTTTTGTAGGTGAGTAAATCAGCATAGAAAATAAATATATTACACGCATAGATAAATATAATAGAACAAAGATACAAATGAAAAAAACAGTGCTTTATATTTTTCAGGTAAGTCTAATAGAATTCAGGTAACTTACAGAAATTGAATAACCAAATGTAAAATAACACTACATGGTCTTCACTGTATAAATTAAGGCCCAATCCCATTTCTACCCCTTAGCCCTTCTCCTTTCCCCTACCCCTCTGTTTCGCGCGTTCACGTGAAGGGGTAGGGTCTCGATTCTCTTTTGGTTGGAGGGGTAAGAGGAAAAGCCAGATAGCCTCTCAAACGAAGATTTTTCGGGACCACACTTCAAACGAAGGGGTATGAATTATCTCAGCGTAAACCGGCTACAGCGGTAACATGGCTGCCCGACCGAACAAAAAGAAATGTAAGCATTTTTGGCATTAATAAAGATTTTAATGAAAAGTAATCATTTGTTTTATGTAACATTCAATCGTTCATATTTACGGTCATGTTACTCAAATAAATGTTTGCAAAAAATCGCTAAAGTTTGCTAATGTCATATTTACAGACTGCCACAATATATTTTCATGTCTGATCAGGGCGATAACCACCGTAGACATTGAGGGGGGCTAGTCCCCCCAATAATTAGAAATCGCTAAACCCTTTTCTCAAATATTACCAATTCGAGAGAGGGAGAGAGAAAGAGAGAGATGAAAGTTGCGGCTTATGTACACTTTCCTTTGGTATGCGCGTTTCTCTTTTTAGAGTGAGTTTACTTCAAAAACAGCGATTTTATCCTCTCGTGGCTGGAAAATATAGTAGCGATTCAGTATTTAAACTGTTAATATTTATACTATTAATAAAAGTCGTGGGGCAGCGTTGACAAGTTTCTTTTCTCCTGGATGTGTGAGCTGCGCGATCTCCGATATATATATATGTGTGTGTGTGTGTGTAGAGAGAGTTGTGTGAATGTGCGTTTGTGCGTTTCTCTTTTTAGAGTGAGTTTACTTAAAAAACAGCGATTTTATCCTCTCGTTGCTGGAAAATATAATGTAGCGATTCAGTATTTAAACTGTTATTAATAAAAGTCGTGGGGCAGTGTTGACAAGTTTCTTTGCTCCTGCATGTGAGAGATCTCTGATATATATGTGTGTGTGTGTGTCAGTAAGCAGCACAGTAATATAGAACGGTAATTAAAGGCTCTAATGCACACCAGCACACCAGTATAGGTGTGTTTATTGTAGGAGCTAGACGACGTATGTTGATGTGTGACGTTATAGTAGTGGTGTCCCAATTCTTAGGGGGAATATTTTCACCCCTACCCCTTGACCCTCTGAGGGGAAGGGGAAGGGATATAAAATAGAATTGGGATTGGGCCTAAATCTAATAAATCTGTGTTAAAGCTACAAAAGTGATTTTTCTGTGTTTTGTTTTTTGATTAACAATCATGACACAGAAAGCAACAGGAACATTAAACTGCTGTGAATATACTATTACGCATCCATTTTCTTTCTCAATTTTTTACTTTCACCTAAACCATAAGCAACTGTGTTTATAAGGATACTTGCAGAGACATGCATTTTGACATAATTTTGCGCGTATGTGTCATTAATAGATGCGGAAGTGAACGGAATTCAGAGTTCATGTGCGTCTGTGTGGCTCTCACTGTAGCTGTGTTCCGAAACCGCTCCCTATCCACTATATAGTGCACTATATCAGGTGTCAGCCATTTTGTAGTGCTGTCCGAATTCTGAGTGAACGACTTTATTCCCTACATTCGTTCACTACTTTTTACCCACAATGCATTCTGATTTTGAGTGTACAACCGATGTACACTCGCTGAAGCACTATTTCCCAGAATCCAATGTGGAGAACCGACGAGCTGGAAGAGAGAGCAGGAGCGAGCGAGTTTTAATGAGAGATGCCATTTACATCGTTCTTATTTCTGCTTTAATGTTTATTTCATACATTATATTAAAATATATTACGTAGGCATTAACTCAGTTTAATATTTTACTAATTTACTGAGGTGGCATCTTTGTTAATTAACAAAAATTATGATAATTTGGTGGATATTATAAAAAATGTTCGTTGGTAGCGTATTCATTCTGATGTAAAATTAACAGTCGCCTGAGGGCGCTCTATGACCATTGTCATCTAATCTGAGTGCAAAACACTGCTCGGTAGAGTTTCAAGATACTACAAAAAATAAATACATAAAATTATGAACGTGTTAATGTGTGTTTATTTTTGTTGACCGTATTTTAAAAGAATTTAATGATTATGAACATAACAGAACAAATTAATAATATACCATCAATGAAACCACAAAGCTGACGCTGAGGTACAGTGCCTTGCAAAAGTATTCATACCCCTTCATTTTTTTTCACATTTTATGTTGCTGCCTTATGTTAAACTGCTTTAAATTACTTTTTTTCCACATCAATCTACACTCCATACACCATAATGGTAAAGCAAAAAAACTGTTTTTTAACATCTTTGTACATTTATTAAAAATAAAAAAACTTAAATGATTCCATTGCATAAGTACTCATACCCTTATCTGGGACAGTTGAAATTTAGCTCAGGAGCATTCATATTGCTTGTAGATGTCACTACACTTCAAGTGAAGTTAACCTGTGGCAAATTCAATTGAATGGGTAT